TAATAAATTAATCAAAGTTAATTTTTTATTTTGCAATAATTTAAAATTATTTTTGCTTTAAACTAAAAGGCTCATAAAAGGAAATTCAAGTTAAGATAAGGCTTAGCTCTGTTAGGGCCAAAATAAAAAAAATTGGCTACATTGATAAAAATAGGCATATATTTAAGCAGCATTCGATTACATATATAACTTGGGCAATTACCGGTCTATTCAAAAATATATAAACATATATATTCGTCCTGCCAATCATTCATTGATGCATTGATGATGGTCACCAGTCAAAGACCCACAGATAGTAGTAAATAGCCATGAAGAATAGGACGTGGTGCATGTAGATGATAACGGCACAGCTCACGTATTCCTCCCTGGGCAACTGATATCTGCGCCCGTGTACGATTTGAGCATGGAACAGACACATGGGCATCGTGGCAAAGAAGAGGATGCCAAAGTAGATGGAGTGATATGTTTGCTGGTCGGTCACTATAAACAGGATGAGGACCGTGGCGCTGGCCAGGGTGAATACGATAAGAATAACTGAGAAGACTATGATGCCAGGCAGCACAATCATGGGCAGAAGGGCACCTAGCAGATAGAAGAGGATCAGGCCAGCGAATGAGGTGGCAGTGGCAGCCAGAATATTGACGATCGTTCGTTCGGGCAGCAGCAGCACTATGCTCAGCACAATGGTCTCCACAAAGATCGAGGAAAAGAGGCAGACGTACCAGAAATGGGAGCGCCAACGCGTACAGAAAGTGAGCAGAACCAGAGCAACGAAGGACAACACCATACAGATAAATCCGGCCAGACCAAACAGGCGATGCTTCTCCAGCAGCCCTGCCAGCAGCAGCCACTGGAACAGGCCAACCGCAGTGAAAAGAGCGCCCAGCAGATAGCAGCGTTTCATAAAGTTTAGCTTCTCTGCCCTGTCGTACTGCTCCTCAGCCATTGCATCGAAATGCAGCGTGTATGTGGCACGCAGTTGCCGCATCGGCCGCTGCAACGCCGGCTCCTGCGGCAGCTGGGGATGGCCCGGAAAGTGGTGAAGCGGTATCTCGTAGGGCCATAGCTCCCAATATCGTCTCGGATTCCAGCTGAACATTTTCTATTTCAACTGATCGAATTGGAATTTTGACAAGATAATATATGCCGTTTCGACTCGCAGCCCTAGCACTGATCCCTGGCGCAATGGTAAAAAGAAGAGAATCGACAATATGTAGATATTTGGTATACTTTGATATTTCAATAAATTTTTGACTGACTTGCAGATACCCTAAATCAGATGTCAATCTCGTTTTATAACCATTTGGATAATCTATATTTGCCTTTAGCCTACGGCTTGGATCTTAATATTATAATAATTA